ACAAAGGAGAAGGTGCTGGGGAAGCGGAAAGATTTGAAGGTGGATAAATAGCCTGGACCAGATGGACTACCTGCCCCAGACCTCTTAAGGAGATAGTTGAGGAGAGTGTAGATGCATTGTTGGTCATCTTTCAGGAATCACTGGAGTCAGGGAGGGTCCCAGAGGACTGGAAAATGGCTAATGTAGCACCCTTGTTTAAGACAGGAGGGATGCAGAAGATAGAAAACTATAGGCCAGTTAGCCTGTCCTCAGTCGTTGGTAAGATGTTAATTTATCCATTATTAAGGATAAGATTGTGGAGTACTTGGAAGTGCATGGAAAAATAGAGCCGAGTCAGCACGGCTTCATCAAAGGGACGTCATGCATGACAAATCTGTTAGAATTCTTTGAGGTGGTAACAAGCAAGGGAGAGGTTGTGGATGAAATCTGAAGGACAGAGAAATTGGGGAGTCCTAGTTCAGGATTTTCTTCAGGTCAACATGCAGGTTTGGTTAGCGTTTAGGAAGGCCAATGCATGTCAAGAGGGCTAGAATACGGAACAGAGATGAACTGCTGAGGCTGTTAAAAGCTCTGGTCAGACCACATTTGGAATATTGTGAGCAGTTTTGAGGCCTGCATTTAAGCAAGTACATGCTGCCATTGGAGGGGTTCCAGAGGAGATTTGCTATAATGATCCCAGGGATGAATGGCTTGTCGGATGAGGAGCAGTTGAGCACTATAGGGAGAGCTTGGCCAGGATAGGAGATATGGTTAGTAAGTTTGCAGACAACACCAAAATTGGTGCTAGAGTAGACAATGAAGAAGGTTATCTAAGAGTACAACAGGATCCTGATCATCTGGGCTAGTGGGCTGAGAAATGGCAGATGGAGTTTAATTTAGATAAATGTGAGGTGTTGCATTTTGGTAAAATAAACCAAGGCAGGACTTACGTAGTTAATGGTAGGGCCCTGGGGAATGTTGTCGAACAGAGAGACCTGGGGGTAAAGGTACAAATACAAAATGTCCTTGAAAATGGCATCACATGTAGTGTGGGTAGTGAAGAAGCTGTTTGGCACACTTACCTTCATCGGTTAGAGCACTGAGTACAGAAGTTGGGAAGTCAAGTTACAACTGCACAAGACACTGGTAAGGCAACATTTGGAGTGCCAAGTGTAATTCTGATCACCATACTATAGGAAGGATGTAACTAAACTGAATAGGGTGCAAAAAAAATTCACAAAGATATTGTCAAGGTTGATGTGTTTGCATTATATGGAGAGGCTGGACAGGCTGGGAGCGTGGGAGGCTAAGGGGTGACCTTGGAGAGGTTTATAAAATCATGAGGGGCATGGCTAAGGAGAATAGCCAAGGTCTTTCCCCCAGGGTAGGGGAGTATAAAACAAGAGGACATAGGTTTAAGGTGAGGGGTAAGATTTAGAAGGAACATGAGGGGCAACTTTTTCCACACAGGAGGTGGTGCGTGCATGGAACAAGTTGTCAGAGGAAGTGGTGGAGGTGAGTACAATTACAACATTTAAAAGACACCTGGACAGGTGCATGGATAGGAGAGCAAATAGAGTAGAAAATAAAACTGGTTCAGTTTAGGAAACCAAATCAGCATGGACCAGTTGAGCTGAAGGTTCTGTTTCTGTGCTGTATGACTCTAGCTAGGGTATAGGATGCACTGCCTGGAAACATGCAGAGGCAGGTTCAATTGAAGCACTCAAGAGGGCATTGGATGATTATTAGGATAGAAATAGTGTTCAGGGATATAGGGAAGGGCAGGAGATTGGAACTAGGTAATAATCCTGGCCTCTTTCTGCACTGTAACAATTCTGAGATTCTGTGACATTATTTTCTAGCTACTGCTACTACTTTGATTCCAGCTGATGATATTACAAGACTCATTGATCCCAGGATAAGACCTTACTTAATAGACTACACTTAATGGACCATGGGTTTTACCTGAAGAACTGCGGATGCTGGAAATCATGTTCTGAGGAAGGATCATTGAACCCGAAACATTGATTTCTCTCCACAGACGCTGCCAGACCTGTGAGCCTTTCTAGCAATTTCTGTTTTAGTCAGAAGTTTTGCCTTTTTGCTCATTGTGGAGGTCAGTCACTGAATGAGAGTCTGTCAATGTACTTTTACATTATTTTGTTAAACATTTTGACAAAAGAATAAACATGAACTACATTACAATATGCAAGAACCATTATAAATGAAACTAAAGATATCTGAAAGTAAGATTCAGTCCTATTAACCATTCAACAACTTTACAGAGACAATCCTGTCTCCATGCAAAAAGGCTCAGCTCACACAGCAATAGTTAGTTTCTTTTTGTCAAATCCCTGCATTCAGTCGATGTTACTTTCTTCAATTAACATCTCGTTCTGAAACAATTAGAAAAGGAGCTGACTCAGCTTACTTAGTGCTGAACGCAAGTTCCTTAATCTCATGTTGACAATAGCTTACAGGTTGTCATCCTCTCCAATCTTCACAGCTTTTGGTTCTGGCTTTCTTCCAAGCAGTTCAGTATCCCCCAGGCCCAACTGCTTGGACCGCTAATAATAATCCCTCTTCTGTCTGAATTAATCCGCTATGGGCCCCTTTTTCTTCCCCTCTCTCTGGACTGTAAACTCAAGTCAGCAAATACCCTAGTACTCATCTCCTTTTATGGCTTACTGTTCATTTACCTAAAATCATATGCTTTCCTGAAAATGTTTTTTTTTTTAAAACTTACCTCTTCAAAATGATTTTCTGACCTTTACAGAACTGAAAGTCTATATCCATTATTCCTCCACTTTAGAACCCTAGTTCCCAAATAGTAACGCATTGAGCATTTGTCACACTGTAGGTACATAGATAACACTGAATCAAAGGGAGAGCAGTCCAGCCCAGCTGGATGATGGTGAGCAGGTTGGGGGAAGAAGCTTTGTCACAACCACGCAGCGTGCCATTTCTCACGTTGACATGAGCTGTTCCTGGAAAGATGGGAATGAGTTCAGGTGGTGACAACAGATTCTTGGGCCCTGGAGTTCAAAGGGAGCAGAAGGTGGGAACCAAACCAGAAATTGGTAGAAAAACTCAGCAGGTCTGGCAGCATCTGTGAAGAGAAATCAGAGTTAATGGGTCGAGTGACCCTTCCTCAGAACTTGGGAGTCAGGTGAAGACAGCATATTTAAAAGGACAAAGGGTCAATGCCTGAAAAGGGGACCGTTTACCATACAGTTTAGCAGCGTACAAGGGCAGGTTGTATGAATAGCATTTTAGTGGCAATAGGAGGTTGGTCTCACAGACAAGATGAGCTCAGAAGGGACATGGCGGGGCAGTGTGGGTAGATAGAAGGGAAACATGTAAACTTAGTACATGTTTCTAAAGGTGTGGGAATTGGGAAGGGATGAGGGGACGTTCATTCACGGTCCTGATAGGACATATTCTGAGAGTGTAGTGTTACCCTTGAAATAAAACTAATCATGGTTACAGGCACCTTCCAAGTGAAATATCTTTTTCCTTGGGAGTAGCAGATATAGAACATAGAACATTACAGTGCAGTACAGGCCCTTCAGCCCTCGACGTTGCACCGACCTGTGAAACCAATCTGAAGCCCATCTAACCTAAACTATTCCATTATCATCCATATGTTTATCCAATGACCATTTAAATGCCCGTTGGCAAGTCTACTACTTTTGCAGGCAGGGCATTCCACACCCTTACTTCTCTCTGAGTAAAGAACCTACCTTTGACATCTGTCCTATATCTATCACCCCTCAATTTAAAGCTATGTCCCCTTGTGCTAGCCACCACCATCCGAGGAAAAAGGCTCCCACTGTCCACCCTGTCTAATCCTTTGATCATCTTGTATGTCTCTATTAAGTCACCTCTTAACCTTCTTCTCTCTAACGAAAACAGCCTCAAGTCCCTCAGCCTTCCCTCATAAGACCTTCCCTCCATACCAGGCAACATCCTGGTAAATCTCCTCTGCACCCTTTCCAATGCTTCCACATCCTTCCTATAATGCGGTGACCAGAACTGTACGCAATACTCCAAGTGCGGCCGCACCAGAGTTTTGTACAGCTGCAACATGATATATAGATATTTATTCCCAACGCTGAATGTTCTGCCAATAAACCTTTTTGAAAGAGGCACTCAAAGACTTTGTCATTATCAGGACTGAACTTTCTCTAGATGCTACAAATATTGAGATACTCAAGTGAACCTTAACCTTCAGTTACATTGGTTTGTTAAATGTCTCCGATATAAACGTTAAACATAATTTAACTCATAAAACACCAATTTCAAAGCAAATGTTCAATTCTTGCATTGCTGCAATTTGCAGAAACGATCATAAATGATCTAGGGCGTGAATTCCATAAGACTTCAGCGGTCCCAGCAGACACCGCACCACTTTCAGTGGGTAGGAGGAGTTTGACAGTGACCTCCACATCCGAGAATGAATGAAAAATATTTGCAAATTCAAGCATCCTAACACTGTACATAACGGGTTCAACAATGCAAATGGACCGCTGTACTTAATGTCTTGTGCATCAAAACATCAGAGGATATACATGTACCACAATACACAAAAGTTAGCAGAAACCATTTGTGGCTGTACGGCACCTCAGTATTCCCGAAATGAAGCCTATAAAACTCACTTGTAGCTTCACAACATATTAAGCAACGCCCAGGCTCTACAACAATAACCCTGCAATCTGAGAAGCCACGGCTCACTTGTTTACTACTTATTTAAAGACCATTTCTTTCTATAACTTTTTTTTTAAATGTAGCATTAACTACTAAATAATGGCATTAATTGTGAAATCGATGAAAATCTTACGGTTTTCCCCGTGAAGCGGTGGAATGCGCACCGCATTTAGACTTTGACTCCACCCTGAGCACACACAAGGATTTGAACACTGCTTTCAATAAGATATTGAGGATTCTTTACAAACTATGAATAAGCAATAGTGTAAAAGTTCCTCCCTTTCCGGAGTAAGAGAAGAGGAAATCGCACTTACTAAAATGACAGCTAAAAATCTGGATAGGATTGCAAATGGTGTGGACTGCTGTCACTACCGCTTCACTCAGTACTTCCTGTAGCAGGAATTAGCAGCATGGAACCACCGCCCCTTCTCTCTGCAGACACAGAGATAGGAGAGAGAGAAAATGAGTGAATCCAAGAGGGAGGTACTATAGTCTCGGTCATCACATTTACTCAGTGCCTGAATCAAATAGTCACCTCACCCAGAACAACCCTCATTTTCGGAAAATGTAATTCAAATTTTTTTAAAAATCCAACGATAGAAATTTAAACCTACCAAAATTTTCCGATTAATTATGCCAAGGGAATTTATTTCTGTCCTTCCTGATACCTTCAGGGACGGTGTCCGTCCCAGGACTAATGTTTTCAACTTCAGTCTTTAACCAAAATCAACAATTATCTGACCTAAGTGACCCAACTGGTATGTCATTCCGGGAAGAAAAGTAGCCATCAAACTCAAGAAAAGAGACGGCATTTATTTTGAAGAATGACACTAACCGGTGGAAAGGATATTTAAACGTGGTGCTAAGTTCATTTTTAAAGGGATGTGCACCCAAACAAATACATGTGACACAGAAATGAGTTTGCGCCGGTGTATGAAAACTAAGCGTCTGACACAATTGACTCCCCGAGTCCAGGGGACGCTCCTTGCAGAATTGACAAATGAGTTCAGTCAAATTGTGTTTACTACTGCCTTCTTAAAAGGGACATTGCAAAACATCGCAATGGGGAATCCAGTACCATATTCGCAAGTTCGATTTTTTCTAAAGAAGACTAACGTTAGGTAAATACTTAGGAAATAGTGGACCTTGATTCTATTTGCACAATCAAGCCCAAACAAGTAAAATTAAACTAACACGTGAGGATGTTCCAGACGACCTCAAAAGTCTGCCCAAGCCTTGCTTATATCTAATGGCCAAATCTTCTTGACATAAGCCTTCTGCCAAAAAACAGTTGATAGGTAATGTTCAAAATTGGATAGGTACAGTATACAAGTATATTTGCAAATATCTTGCAATTTGTAATCCACCAGAATGAATGTAAAATGTAAACTTTTTCTAATTTAGTATAATTTGTTACTTGACAATGGTGTTTATTGAATTTAGTTTGCATTGGACGTGCTATTTTAGTGAAAATGCATATAGTTCTATAGTTACTTTGTGTTTTATCTTAACCTTAACTGTAAAGTGCAATTAATTTGGCAATATAAACTCTATAGTAACTATACCATTGCTCGGGCTGGACATTTGGTACAGCTCTGCTTAATTAGCTGTGAATGGATTACAGGCCCAGGGTCATCAACAAAAATAATCTAACAAATGTGCCCTCTTTTCTGAGAAGCACAATTCATATTATGGCAAAAACACAAACTAAAACTTCTATGAAACTAAATAATCTTGTTACCTGTATCTACATATGCCACCCTTGTCATCACCCTTGAATTTCCTTAAAATGCAAGAGATTTAGTGTAATAAAATCATGAGCTTTTTTTAAAACATAAACTAATATAAATTGACAGTTGGTTTTTACACCTCCTTGTAAGTATTGTTCTAGATTTACTCTTTTATCAATTATCTTGCATAGCTTCATACTGTCTTTCTCAGATATATTTTGTTTCAAGGCCATAGTGTTCTATTTTATCTTTTTTTAAATTCATTCACTCATGAAAGGTGTGCATCAATGGCTGGATGGGCACTTATTATCCATCCCTAGTTTCTCCTGAGAAGGTGGTGGTCAGCATCTTTCTTGGACTGCTACCGTCCATTGGTGTGAATGGCTTAGAAAGAAACATGCAGGGGGTGGTGTTGCCAATGCATCTGCTGCCCTTGTCCTTCCAAATGGTAATGGTTATAGGTTTGGAAAGTGCTGTCTAAAGAGTCTTGGTGAATTTCTGCAGTGCATTTTCCAGATGGTATACACTGGTGCGACTGAGTTTCTCTCATCATTTCCCCTAGGCTTTTCTTAAACACCGTGATCAGATACAGTACTGTTCTCCGTATTGATCTTTTATGGTCAGGGTGATAAAGAATTGTTCATGTTAGGCTACTTCATGAGATAAGAGCAATGCTGTTCAAGGTAGTATATTAGGATGGATATGTTAGCTAACAAACAGAAGACAGGGAGCCTGGGTATTGGGATCTCAGAACTGCTACCTGAAACTAGTGCAATGCCACAGGATCAGTGCTGGGGCCACAGTTATTTAGAATATATATTAATAACGTGGATGAGAAAGGTGGATATATTATAGTCAAATTTGCAAAAGGCACGAAAATAGTTGTGAAGTAAGTAGTGAGGATAACATGAAGAGTGAAATAAATAGGTTAACTGAGTGGGCAAAAACTTGACAGATGGAGCATTGTGCACTTTGGCAAGAAGAAGAGAGGAGCTATATATTATTTAAATGGAGAATGACTGCAGAAAGCTACAACACAGAGGGATTGAGAGTCCTCACGCATGAATTACAAAAAACTAGCATGCAAGTTCAGTGGGTAATAGGGAAGATAAATGGAATGTTGGCATTTACTTTGAAGAGAATGGAGGATTTAAATAGGGAAGTTTTGTTAAAACTATACAAGATCATACTTGGAATATTGTGAACAGTTTTGGGCCCCTTATCAAAGGACATATGTGCTGGCATCAGATAGTGAAAATTCTTTCAACTAGGTTGACCTTGGATATGGAGAGACTGTCTTGTGTTGAGAGGTTGAGTAGATTGGGCCTGTACTCATTGAAATATAGAAGAATGCGATGCAACCCTAAGAGACTTGACAGGGTAGATGTGAAGAGGTTGTTTTCCCTTGTGGGAAAATCTCAGACCAGAGGGCATAATCTCAGAGAAAGAGGTTACCCATTTAAGACAGTGGTGAGGAAGACATTGTTCTCTCAGAGGATAGTGAATATGTGAAATGCTTTACAGTAGAGGGCTACAGAGGCTGCGTTGTTAAATACATTCAAAGCTGAGATAGACAGATTTTCAATCAATAGGCTATGGGAGGAAAGCAGGAAAGTGGCATCGAGGATTATCAGATTAGTCATGATCTCATTGAATGGCACAGCAGACTCAATGTGCTGAATGGCCTACTTCTGGTCATGTCTTACGGTTTTCTGTGTAAAGGTAAAGTCACCATAGTCTTTACAGACCGTAGGGCTGCTCTTTCATTCCAGAGAAATGACCGGTGGTGGTTTGACCAGAGGTTCAGCGCACCTCAGGTGAAGGGGGAGATTGAGAAGGAGAGTCATTCATGGTAACCTCAGCCATTGTAGGAATTGAACCCACACTGTTGGCATGGCTCTGCCTTCCAAACCAGCCATCCAACCAACTGGTGGTGTACAACTTCAGTGTGACTGTGGGAATTCAAATTATTTTTATACATTAGAAAGGGGGGATGTAGGGGCACTAATTATCAATGTCTGTTTAACTCTCCAGTGATAACTGCTGGCATTTAATTATAAAAGTGAATTCTTTATCAGAATGATTTTGAAGGTCGGGTATTATAAGCAGAAGAGATTTTGTTAACATTGGGTGCAAGTATAATGACCATCAGAAGTATGGACTATAAAGGAGACACACTATGAACTTAATTAATGAATATCCTTTGGTTATACAATAAATACAATTCAAACAGAACAGCCCACCATTCCTTATTTAGATAGGCAACTTATTGCCCATGCACAGTAACTATCCTTCTGTTCACCTACCATTCATGTATCTATCAAGATACGCAGTAAAAGCTGCTGACGTGTCTGCTTCCACCACCTCCACTGGCAGTATGTTCCATGCACCCAACACCCTCTGTGGGAAAGATTTTCTCTGCACTTGTCCCCTAAGCTTTCCCCTCTCAAGTTGAACGTGTGCCCTCGCAGTTGAAAAGTTGAAAGTTATGTGATAACCTGGCCAACTACAATGTCGTCACTGCTGTCTGTGGATTATGGAAGTCTGTCCTAAGTACACCATGTGCCTAAGTGAGTTGATACTGAATGATATTTAAGCAACTCCAGGATGACTTTTGGAAAAGTCACTTATCACTGGGTGCTCTCTTCCACTCCCAAGTGTCTTGAGTGTGAATTTAGTGTTGAGTTCAGCACTGAGGGAACTAAGAGCTTTCAGACTAACATATTGTTTCTGAGGATTAATTTAGTCTGTTCTGGGTGTTTATTAACATTTCCTAGGTGACTGGAAATTCTGGCAGTCTGCCTGGCTACCTGTGGGTCATTTCAGTCAGCCTTGCAGATATTTTTCTAATCAATCCATTCAGAGATGTTATTACACCCCTGTGGAGCAAATGAGACTTGAACTTTGGACTCATGCATGCCTTTTCCCCCCACAACTCTCTGTCTTCAGTTTATTTCCTAGCTACCAGCACTCTGTGAGAAGGGACACTGGCCCAAACTTAACTCTACTTTCTCTCCACAGGTTCTACCAGAACTGCTCTGTTTTTGTTTCTGGGTACTCAGTCTGCTCCTGGATTAAGGGGAGAGGTGATGGCCTGGTGGTATTATTGCTGGACTGTTAATGCAGAGACCCAGATAATGTTCTGGGGATGTGGGTTTGAATCCTGTCACAGTAGATGGTGGAATTTGAATTCAATTAAAAAAATCTGGAATTATTAGTCTAATGATGACCTTGAATCAATTGTCGGGGAAATAAGAAACGTCTGGTTTTTAGGGAAGGAAACTGCCATCCTTACCTTATCTGACTTACACGTGACTCCATACACTCTTAACTGCCTCTGGGCACTTAGGGATGGGCAATAAATGCTGGTCTAGTCAACGATGCCCTCATCCCGTGAGTGAGTTAAAAAAAAGGACTGGGTGCTCATAGCCTGATCTTGGATTAAATCATGGCTATGTACTCTCAGTGTGACCAGGATTAAATCAGGTGGGGTCAGTGTGATTCTGGATTAAATCAGGACTGGGTGCTCTCAGTCTGATACTGTATAAAATCAGGATTCAGTGTTCTCAGACTGATCCTGGATTAAGTCAGAATTGACTGGTCTCAGTATGATCCTGGATTAAATCAGATCTAGGTGCTATCAGTGTGATCCTGGAACAAATCAGCACTGACTGCTCTCAATGCGATCCTCGATGAAATCTGAACTGTGTGTTATTACAGGGACCGGCCGCTAGTGAGCAGCCGAGGTCTTTATGACTGCGCCCCTACCGGTCACTGCAGGGAGTTGCGCAGCGGCCGCGGGGACAATGGCGGCTGTTGCTGGGAGCGCTGTTTTCCGGTTCATGTTTAAAGCCACAGGGATCGGGCGCAGCGGGTGCTGCCGAGTGTGGTCCGGCATTTCTAGGCCCGGGGTGAGAGCGCAGGTGGGTGGTAGGGCTGCCGACCGGTGGATGTGTTATTATCGGGCTCAGGTCGTGTCTTTAACCGTCTCCTGTCCCGGTGAGAGTTGGGCAAGTGGCGGTGACAGCGCATGCGCGTTTAGCTTTACCTGCTCCCCGATTGACACCCTGAGCTCTCAGT